TGAGTAGTTAATGTATACATGTTACAATTTATCAATCCATTTGTTGGTTAAGGGACATTGAACCATTTTCAAAACTTAGTTATTGGAAATGAAGCTGCTACAACCCTGCAGGCACATACACATTTTTGTATGGTCAGAAGAAGTACATGAAACCATTCAGGTTACCTTAACAAAATGCCACAGACTAAGTGGCTTAAACAACCAAATTAGTTATCTCAAAGTCCTAGAAGCTGAGACTGCAACATCAATCTTTCACCCGGTTGGCTCCAGCTGAGGTCTCCTTCTGTGACTTACAGATGGCTGTGTTCTCCCATGGTCATCTCTCTATGTGTATTTGGGTCCTGACTTACTCTCTCAATAAGAACACAGGTCACACAGGATTAGGACTTCATCTTATCATAGTTATTTCTTTAGACATCGTCACTCCAAACATCATCACATTTTGAGGGTTTCAGATATGATCCTATGAACGGGGTAGACCAAGTTCAACCCTTCACAATAAATTTACACTTCTCTAGAAACAGAATTGTGGGGTGATATAAAAAACAGGAGTTAAACCTTTTATGGTATTTGGTTTGCAAAGTGGTCTCCTCACTTCTGCATTCCCACAAGTGTCCTAGTGGCTGTAACTCCCCAGGAGCATTGGCATGGCTGTGTTCCCAAATTCAGCCTTTCTAATAGTTACCTAGTTGCTGTGGAATGACCCTTCGGTATGCTGTGAATACGTATTCCTCTCATTGGTTAATAATAAAGCTGTTTGGCCTATGGGAAGGCAGGACAAGGTTAGGCAGAACAATCAAACTGAGGACTTGGATGAAGACAGGCGGAAATGCGAGCCCGCTGTCCAAGTAGTAAGATGTCAGAGGACCAGTAAAGCCATGGCCGTGTGGCAATACATAGATGAATAGCAATGGGTTGATTTAAATGTAAGAGCTGAATAATAAAAAGCTTGAGCTATTGACCAAGGATTTATAATTAATAGAAGTCTCCGTGTGGTGATTTGGGAAGGTGCTGCTGGATATTTGGGAACAGGCAGTGGGGACAGAAAACTCCACCTCCATTTACACCTAGTTGTCTTTGTTTGGTTTATGTGGCTGTGACAAAACATCCTGGCAAAAAAATGACTAGGAGAGAAAGCATTTGTTTTAACTCAATTCCAGCACATGGCCTATCATATCTGGGAAGTAAAGGCAGCAACAATTTGAAACAGCTGGTTACATTATGTCCACAGTTAGAGCAAAGGGAACAAACACATGAGTGTTTATTACTCTGCTTACTTTCTCTGCTCAGTCCAGGACCCAAACCCTGAGAATGACACTGTCCACAGTGGGCTGCCAAACCCAGTGAACGACCTGTCCACAGTAGGCTGCCAAACCCAGTGAACGACTCTGTCCACAGTGGGCTATCATACCCAGGGAAAGACACTGTCCACAGTGGGCTTTGAACCCAGGGAAAGACACTGTCCACAGTGGGCTGGGTCTCCCCATATCAGTTAAGGCAATCAAGACAATCTCCCATGAGCCAACTGATAAAGAAAACCCATCTCTGAGACTCTCTTCCCAGGCGATTCTCGATTGTGTCAAGGTGACAGTCAAAACTAACCATCACACTGGAGAAGCATCATCGTGCTTCTGACTTCCACAAGCCCTGCTTACTAAGCAGTAGCTTCTCGTTTCTTTGTCTTTCATACGCTAGGGGAGGTGTCTGTTTTCACCTTCCTTCAGTCACTCCTAGGTCTCCAATCTCACAGAAGATTCATCTGTCTTTTTCATTCTCCCTTGACATTTTTCCTTTCCTCTCTGTTCTGTGCCTCCTGTAATTTCTACATTCAAGGTCAGTAACTCTAATTTCCATTCTGCTATTAAACTGAAGAATTCCTTTAATTCAGACATCTTTCTCAATTCTAGAGCTTCTAGCTTTGACAGCTTTTATTTCCTATCCTTACATGCTTAACAAGGATACTTTTCTTTACATCTACTGTTATCAAATTCCAGGGTGTATCAGAAACACATAGAAAATTAAAGAATCATCATTTCCAATAAGCCCCTAGGGGGCGCTAAAGCTGCTGGTGTGGGTATCACATAGGAAGACCACACTTCCATCCCTGAGTTTTCAGTACAATAAGGGATGTGCAATACTTGTCTGCTAATCCCAGCATCGGAATCATGGTGGGTTTTTCTTTTCTTTTCTTTTCTTTTTCTTTTTCTTCCTTCTCAGAAGGAATACATTTTCCCCAGATTTTGTATGCCTTAGTTGAAACATGCATGTTCTAAATGCGATGACACAGAAATTCTGGATTGCGCTATATTCCCACAAGGCTATGTATGGGTTTTTTGCTTCTGTTTCTGTTCTCAGTTTTAGCAAACCATCTTCTTGACTGAATTCATACCACAAACTCTGTCTCCTTAGAAGCAATTTAAATGCCCACTCTGTTCTCTCCTCACCTGGGCTAACTGGAGACCTTCTGGGACATGGAGGATTCAAGAGTTCCCCAATGATGCAGGTGACATTTAATGAACAGGATTCAGAGCTTTGGCTCCCTGGTTCTCCACTGTCTGAAATTTTATCTTACTCTCTAGCATCTGTGTTTGCCTGGACTCTGGAGTCTGACTTATCAGGGCAGAAAGACCAAGTTTCACACCACTCCTTAATGTCTTACATGCTGTCAGCCTACGCTATCTTCACACTGTGAATACAGAAATATGAAGACTGTTCATGGTCCTTCCTTCCAACTGCTTGCTCCGCTCCACAACATGTCTGGTTGTTTTTATTCATGCTCCACAACTTTGAAGTGAGTGTTTTTGATACTAGGTCTGGAGTTAAATAGCTATTTCAGAAAGATCAATTCTGTATGAGTTTTCTCAGTGCTACGAGCAAACTTCTCTCCAAATATTACTCTCAAATAAATCTGACTTTCGCCAAACAGTAGCTACTATAAATTGCAATCAAATATGCTAGAGTACTATAAAAACATATCTACTCTGAAATATATAAACTCATCTAAACAGATTTCTAGAACCAATAAAAGACTGTATCGTTATGTGACTCTTATGGGGATAGATATCAGAGTCATTTAGATTTAAGTGTCTTTTCATAAAAGCAGTTGAAAAGGCAATTGTATCCTTATGTAATCAGAACAAAAATTATGTCCTGCATGCTTAAAAAAGTCAATTTCCTCCTTCCCTGTATATTTCTCTGCAAATAAGAGGCAGAGATGTTTACGGTGGACTTTTTTATGGTCCCCCCAACACACAAGTCACCCTCTTTTATTCACACAATTATGTATGAAGCCTCTTTCTGATAGCACAGCTGGATGGCTTCATGGAATACCTTGAAGTTAAAAAGTATTTTATCTCACTTAATAAGGCAAAGCTACAACCACATAACCTCTTTTCATTTCCTCTCGCTGCTTGAGGGTAATTTATAAAAGATCAATAGCAAAACTGTTACCTCTGAGTTTCCTTTACTAAGCATTTGGCTATGTCAATCCATCCTAGAACCAACTCTGATTGTTAAAACGTCCCCAAGGGAAATGTCTTCCACACATCCAGTTCCACAGCTCTCCTCTAGTACACATGAGATGCGTGATTAAAAAATGAATTCGTAATAAGCATTCCATTAAAGAGCACTCGTAGCAAGCTAACAGATTCAGCAGAGTGCCACTATGCAATGCATAAGCCAGCAGGCAGACAACACTCCTGTCTATTAAATAAATGGGGAGCCAGAAACAAAAGCACTCCTAATGAATACACCAGCAAATTCATTAAGCCAGATTGCATCTTGGTGACTGAATCCTGGAAGCTCCAAAGACAACCTGGCATGTGGTTAATTGCTCCTGAATGAAATGCCATGCAGACACTACTGGATAAAAGGAAATTTTCAGAGGGCTGGTGAGATGGCTCAGTAGGTAAAGTGTTTGCCATTTGAGCATAAGGACCTGAGTTCAGATCCCCAACATCCATGGAAAAAGCCATGGGTGGCAGCTGGTGTAATGCCAGCAGTGGAAGGGGAGGGGAAGAAAGATCCTGGGCCTCACTGGTCGGTCAGTCTAACAGAAACCAGTGGGCTCCAGGTTCCAAGAGAGAC